CTTAACAATCCACATCTTGTCTTGTTTGTTGGAGAGGCACTTGTTCGAAATGATGTTTTTGATCATCTTTCAAAGTTTAATCAGGTTTGAGCTCCATATTCATGGTTTTTTCTAGTATTGTCCAATTAGGGTTTGTTTGTTGGTCTCCATTTCTATTGAAAAATCTTCAGATATATGGTTTTTGCTAAGTTGCTTATTGGGTTTCTAATTTATATATATACATATATATTTGACTTTCAGGGGTCAGTTTGGCCACTGGGCTTTTTGATGAAGTATTGCTCTATGCTACGAAATCGTATGCTGGCTGATCCTTCCTTTCTTTTTAAAGTTGGGACAAAGGTTTGTTTTTGTGATCTTTCTTTTTGGTAAATAATGTTTTTGAGTAAATCATTAGTGCTCGTGAAAGAATTGTAGCTCTGCATTTTTCATTGTAAATATCAGTAATTGAGTTTGTGGGTCATTGTTTGCATTGGTGATAGTCCTATGAATTCCATTAAATATACCTTACCTTCAAATTGGACCATTACATTTGATAGTTGTTGATCTTGTTGAATACTGAGGAAATTTCTCTTCCTCGACTCTTTTGTAATGCAGATAGTCATAGATTCTTGTTGTGCAACATTTGCAGAAGTTCAAAAAAGGGGAAAGGATTTCTGGGCTGAGTTTGAGTTGTACGCTGCTGATCTTTTGGTTGGAATAGCTATGGACATTGCTTTGTGTATACTTGTATAGATAGTTGAATTACTCAGGACTAATTGAGTTTACCATTGGTAACTGTTTTTTGTGTGATTTTTTAGGGGCAATCTGTCATATCAGTGGATGATAAATTGAAAATCATAGCCTGCAGGTAAGATGTAGTCATTTGTTATCTAGTTTAATTGAAGATTTCTGATGGAGTTTTTTTATTTTTGATTCTTAGTTTACATATGAATCTATGGTTCTGATGTGGGCTTTCGGTTGCTAGGGAACAACATAAGAAATTATCAGCTCTTCAGATGGAGTTGGCTGCAGTTAGACATGAGGGTTTTACTTCAATGCGCTCCATAGAGATTAATGGAACTGATTATAAGAGAATGCCACTAGTGGTGATTGGAATTTTTACAACCTTTGGTCGCAAAAACAATAGAGACACCATTCGTAAGGCGTGAATGGGAACAGGTAATGCATTAATCTTTCTATGAGCTCACCTATTTTCTGTTTTTGTTACAGTTAAATTTATTTTCTTTTTAATGTGGCACACATATGATTTGGTCTTGTATATAAATTCTTGAATGATAACAGATCATGTGGAATGTTGTGCAATGTTCCTGTTCAATGTTTTAGTTCTAGTAAGCGCATTGAAGGTTATCATTTTTTGTTTTGGAGGTTTTAAAGTTTGCATGTTAATTTACAGGTGCTGCCTTGAAAAAAAAATGGAGAATGAAAAGGGAATAATCGCATGAGGATAATTTGGCATGCTCGAATTGGAAAGCCATCAGTATCCCTAGGATTATTTGGAAGTTAACAACTACATCATTTTATTTGCATAATAGGTAGGATAAAAGTGTACAACTCCATACCATTCACTTGAAGTTTATGATATGCAGAATGTGATTTTTACTAGGAAGATGATTCTATGACAAAATATTAACAATGTACTTCTATGACGTAGTATTAACAGTTTACTTTTTTTTTGGGTTGTAGAGGTATCTTGTTATTACTAGTATCTGGGGCTGGTAGGACAATGCTGATCAGTGATGCCGGGAAATTTTATGCCTTTGGAAAGGACTGAAGATGGTTCTATGACATAGTAATAATGAGATAGTTTTATGACATAGTATAAACAATGTACTTCTATGAAATGGTATTAACAGTGTACTTCTATGGAATGGTATTAACAGTGTACTTCTATGACATGGTATTAATAATGTACTTTTATGACATGGTATTAACACTGTACTTCGGGCTTGCCGGGCTTGTTTTGGGGGGTTTTTTTTTTTTTTTGAGTTTTTTTGTATTGGGCTTGTTTTAAGTTAATCAATGGTGGAGATGTAATTTATAGTAACTTCAACACTCATTTCATATGTAATAAATGATTTTTGGGTATGTTTCTAAATTGAATTTCATGTAGGGTTTTTTTATAATTTCAGCTCCTATTTTCTTTTTTATTTTTTTGTCTGAACCATGAGGTGGTCCTGGATGGGCCCCAATTATGGGTGGCACTTTTAAGCCTTAACCACAACCCAGACTAATCCCCACTCACACCGGGTCGGCCCATAAGGGGTAAAATATTGGCCAAAGTGGTGACTCCGTACGAGAGCAGGGATCGAACCCCTGACCTCTCTTAAGGAATGAGAGTGCCGAACCACTCACACCAACCACCTTGGTTTTCAGCTCCTATTTTGGGTGTATTACTAAAGCTCCCTTTTTTAAAACTCACTCACACACACTTGCTTTTGTCTAGCCACGTATTTGCGTTCTCCCTCACTCTCATCTCATGGAAGTTCAAACGAGCCCTAAGAGCAAAGTGCATGAATTTCCTCATAGTTAATATCATTTTAGTCCACCAAGTCTCCTCCAAAGTACATATGGAGAACACAAATAAGTTAAAGCAGGTAATATTAGTAGCCATTTGGTGGTGTCAATATGACTGATTACAATTTCTGGGAAAAAAAAAACAACCATTTGTAGCCTTTTTGGTTATGGAGAAGCTTTTCATCATATATAGTCTCCAACAACAGTTATTTATGTGAAGCGTCACATACCACCATTATTACTAATATGGATGCAAGATGTCCAGCAAAATAAGGACTTTGCATAAAACATCGCCTATTTTATGGTTTAAAGAACAACGGTTGTAGTAGAAGTAGAACTAAGATAAATACATCAATGGCTATAAATTCTCTTACCTTATGTTTGGATAGAGGAAAATAACTCGGGATTTAGCTCAAAGTCGGGAATTGAAGAGTAGAAATTGATATTTCCTTCATCCAAAAGGAGTGTTATGGAACTTACTCATTTCAACCTTGATTGTGAGTGGGTTCGAATAGAAAGGAAATGACTCATAGGAAACCCTAGTTCTAGAATATTCTTAAAACTTAGCAAACAATAAAATAATAAAAATTATAGTTAAAATTATATCAGGAAAATAACATCCTACTTATTTTAAAAATATAAATTAAACAATAAATTAATATAAATCTGGCAAAGAATCCTCTGTGCTTCAAACTTAATCAAGCAACCCAAAAATCTCAATGGTACATCACTCAAATAGAATTTAGGGTTATGAATAATTTAGTATATTTCTATTCTTCTCATAAGGAGATATTTATAGTGATACAAATACAAGCCTATCTAGTAAGTAATTATAATAAGTAAAAAGGAAATAAATACAATCCCAATCAAACCGGTATTCCTATAATTACAAATCAATTGTAATAAAGGTAATTGTTTATAATTCCTATTGTGATTCAGTGATTCACATCAACATCCTCCTTCTTCCCACCATAATTGACCCAGATCTCGTTCTACATTACAGAAAATTTGGAAAAACATTAAAGTCAACCAAACAAAAGAAAGAAAAATATGGCTAAAAGTTTTCTCAACAGAGAGATGATAAAATATTACAAGGCAAACCAAGTGAGAAATGAAGTACTATATATATTTCAAATGTTCTCCATTCAAATTTTGATAGCATGTTTGCAAGTGCCTATTAAGGAAGAGCCTTTTAAGTCTTCCCATTTCCTGGATTTAAAATATATCATAAAGATAAATAAAGATGGATTTACCATTCGCTGTAGTAGTGGTCTGATTGCATCTTTGCATCTTTTCTCTGTACCATCCTTATCTTGTTCGGTGAAGAACAGATCTCTTTACTAAAGTAGCGGTGGAGATTACAAACACCCACATGCTTTAGCAGTAGTGGTATTAGAGCTGTCTCTAGTGGAGACTTGCTTTTTAGTAAAGCAACAACTATCAACGGATTTGATATGCCTTTACAAGAACCGTTTGATCTTGGGCTAGATGCAGATTTAAGGTTTCTGCATGAAACTGAGCCATGGGGCTTGAGCTAAAACTCAACTTCATATAGCTTTTGGAGTGCTATACTTCCCTGGAAATAATCGACTTAATATGTCGGCGGTGATAACAGTTGAAGAAGAAGAAGAGAAAAGAGAGAGAATATAGAAAAGAGCTGTGTATATTTTCCTTAATGAGAAAGAGCGTAACCCGTATTAAGGGAAACCCCCCTTTCTTTTCTCCAAGCCGATTGTGGTTCTTTCAAGAGTTCATCCCTCTTTCTCATCCTGGAGGAGGTGACACATGGGCTTTGTGATGAGAGGGGCTGTGTGCGGTAGAAGAGGGGATTTGGGTATTTATTTTCTTTTAGGTATGCTTTAATTTCTTATTTATTTATTTTATTTTAATACATATGTGGTTGAAGAACATGAAGTTGAAGCATGGGTTCGAATGCTTATGGTCCCCAGGCTCCTATCATGTTGATCTCCCTCAATCAAATAATACCAATCGCTTGTTGTTTGAAGCAAATGGACGAAAATAAAAAAACTTCATGACATAAAATTTCATGAAATCTTCAAAGGACAATAGGAACCTTTGAAGGGAAAATTAATTTTGCCCACATTTGTTTCGTAGAGAAAATGATAGTACCTTTGAGAGAAATCAGATTTATGATGGAAAAATAGTAAAACTTTTGGAAGCTTTTAGAAAACAGAGAGATGGCTACATGAGGAAGAAGAAGTTGTGTGCAATATGCGGGTCAAGAATTTAAGTTAATAAAAGGCTCTATGTATCGTGAGATTAATCCAATTTCTGGTATAAAATGGTTGCTCACACTTAGGTGAGGGAGATTGGTTTTGTCCCTAAGTCCTTAGAAGTCATTTTACAAATGGGTATATTTGTCTTTAAAAATTTAAAGATAAAGTGAGTGGGAAAATAGGACAGATGGGTGGAAATAGCAGCACTCTTCTTATTTCATGGTACCCATTAAAGGTTGATAGTGTTTGAAATTTGAAGTACCTGGGGAGAGTTGGATATATCTCTATGCAAGGAATGTGGGATATTTTGGGCCAGTATCGTCCAAAGATAAGACTTGAAGATGTGACCCAAAGAATCTTTGGACACCCAGAGATATAAAATTGTGAAAGTGAAAGAGCAGGCCCTCCACTGGCATAGATGCCAGCTTTGGACAATTCCGGAGTCGAAGAGATTGACGAGAGGTGAGGAATTGAAAGCCCTTGATGCTCAGTTTCTTCAGATTTGGGAAACCCACAATTGAGAGACGAGTGAAACAAAGTTATGAAATACCAAAATAGCAATTGAAAATCATATTTCAATGTGTCATGGTCATGCCTTGGTGAACCAGCCAATCAGTAAATTACTTATTTTTTTGAAATGAAACCAAGGTAAACTACTGGCAATAAAATGACAGAAAAGGAGTCTCACCATAGTACAGGGAATGTGTTGATAATGTTTGAAATTTGAAGTACCTGGGGAGAGTCAGAGTCGGAGTTGACCATGTCCATGTCCTCCCATGTGTGGGTGTGGGTTCTCATCATCTTCAAACCGTCTTCTAACCACTTATATATATGCAGGGGATGTCGGATAATTTGGGCAGGTATCGTCCTTTACTACCAGGCTGGCATTTATCTTTTAGCAGAGGACAGCCAAAGATTTCAAGTTGCCTCAGTGAAATAGGCAACCCCTCCTCTGGAATGGATGCCAGCTTTGAACAATTCCTGAGTTGAAGATATTGAAGAGAGGTGAGGAATTGAAATCCCTTGCTGCTCAGTTTCTTCATATTTGGGAAACCACCAATTGTGAGGTGAGTTAGAGATTTGGGAAGCAGCATCTCCATCTCCATCTCCCTGTAACTGTCGGGTGGAAATGACACCACACTTGGGTCTTTACCACTGATGGAAAAGTATGTAAGAGAGGTGAGCCTGTGCAACAACTCCCACAGCGGCTTACAATTCTTGATTCCGCTGATAACAAGTGATGTTAGGTTGGGGGGAAAGGAAGTGAAATTTAAACCTTCACCGTAATCAATATTCAATTCCTGAAGACAGTTGAGATTTGAAATATTTCAATGTGTCATGGTCATGCCTAGGTGAAAGAGCTAGAACCAGCAAATCAGTAAATTACTCATTTTTTAAAAATGAAACTAAGGTAAACTACTTGCCTCATGGGTTGCCTATTTCACAATTGAGAATCGGCTAAGAGTCTAAGACCTAACACAATTGAGATGACATGCAAACACCAAAGAATATAAGTTATTCCTAATGAGCCAAAAGAAACAAAGAAAACAACAAACAATGAAGATGTCAGCACAACCATATTGGTCATCAACAATTCAGTGCCTAACCAAGGGTGCATATCTTATCTGATTGATGATGCAATAAGAATTCTGTATATGAATATGTAATATCTCATTGCTTGCTGGAGAGGCGGGTTAGGCCAGGGCAGTGAGCCTGCGTCATTGCACAAAGTTCAAATTCCCCTCCCCGTAGATTATATTAATTTAGAGTAGATTATCGTTTGTAAAATTTGTATAAAAAAACTATCTCATTGTTTGCTGTTCATTCTCACTGTTTACAAATGCCTAGTGAATTGACATGACCCAATAAAACAATCCTTCTTGCTTTGATAGGCAGAATATTTAAAGCAAATGGTTGTCCAAAGAACTGACGAAACTATAAATTTCTTTCTTTGAGTCCTTTTTGCACCACTGTCACCAGCTGCTGCAAAGGAAGAGGATTCTGCTCTTGAAATTTTGAGTTTCGGCCTATTTAACTCCCATTGCTGCTGAAAGTAGCAATGGATGGTTTCAACTCTTTCTGCAAAAAGGACAATACCATTGTAGGCGTCACGCTCGAATCAATATCAAGGAGCAAGCAAAACATCCGCTTCCGTAATCTGTATATAGCATCTGGATATTGAAAGCGTTCCTGCCAATGCAGAAGCACATTCTTTAAACAGAACACGGCAGCATGATTCAAAAGATAATTTGGTAAATAATCAAAATAAAGATGAAGCTTAGTTGCACATATAATATCTCAGTGCAAATATCAAGAATTTGTCACAAGTATCTGGCAGGTGCAGCCGATATTTCCATTTAAAAGAACAAAGAACAACACTTGGTTACTTGATGTCCTTTAAAAACTGAAGTCCTCCCAACCACAAAAAAACAGCTAGATCTACACGTCCTCTAAAGATTGTAAAGTGGTCAGGGTTCAAATCTTGAGTTAAGATATGTAAACCTACTAACTTGACT